CGGCCCTAGTGCCCGCCCGCCGGACCCCGCCGCCGCCAAGCCCAGGTGGGGAGGGGAGCCGGGGCAGCCCCTAGCAATCTGCGTGTGTAGGAGGGGGTGTTTGCTTTGGGAAGGGTCAGCTGCAGGCCTGCGCCGAGTCCTTTTGGGGCGAGATTTCTGCGAGACGCCTCCGTGCCTCAGTTTCCCCACTAAGGATTACCGCGTTAACGGGGACGTGAGTGCGTGGAGGGGATTTTGCAGCAGGACAGCCAACGAGTGGGTGCATCATTAGGTCAGAGAAAGCTTCCTCAGTACTGGGGAGGGCCTGGAAGCCCGAGGGGTGCTGGGTGCCTCTCCTGTGCCTGGCTTGCAGCAGAGGTGGAGCTCGGCGCTTCCTGCGGGCCCAGAGACTGTGGCTTGTGCTGGCAAAAGGCACCTTAGATTGTTTGAGCCTTGTTCAGCTCAGAACTGGGCAAGCTGTGGGCCAGGGAGAGCAGTTCTCTCGCCCGTTCAGGGGGGTATGCCTTGTGCACGATCATGCATTGTAGCCAGGTTTGTGCCCCTGGGTTGGGGGTGGCGGAGGCTGGGGACAGGTTCGGCCTTGCACAAAAATCCTCAGTATGTGCCCCGAGCTGCACGCTCCTTGGCTGCTTAACGCAATCTCTGCCTGAGGTTTCGTAACTCCAGCTGTTGATAGGGTGAGGGGAACTGGATTTCTGCGGGGAAGGAAAACACCCCTGCGGGGTCTGGGGAAGGTGCTGTGCGTACTTGTCAGGCTGCGGCTCTGCGCAAGCAGCCGCGTTCCAGGGAGTTGTTTTGGCTTTGCATGTAGTTCTTGGCTCTAGGGCTGTAGATATAACCCAGAGCACTAAACTCTACCCACTGTGAAGGTACATGCGGAAAACCTCTTGGGAAATCACACTGGAAGTGTTCAGACCCCTGCAGCTTTCTGATGTGTGGGTGCAGGTGGGGGTCTGCAGGGGCTGCACCTCAGACCCTTCTGCAATGACCGGCTGCCCCTTTGCTCCCAGGTTTTAGATCTGCACAAGATCGAAGATCGAGAACCATGGCATCCATCCCATCGAGTGGCTCGCTCATGGCAACACACAACTACTACAGAAGTAAGAGGGGGGGCTGGGGGCTGGATGGTGGGCAGGCGGGCAGGATGCTCTGCCGGGCTCGGGGCGACGTGGCTCCAGCAGAGATGAAGCTGAGGTCAGATGTGTACTTTCAGCCGAAGCCCCAAGGAGACTTGGCAGACTTCTTGGTGAAAAAGGGTGGTGGCCAGCAGCCATCCTTCCTGCTGCTCGGACCCTCCTTTTGGCCACCACAGCCCCTGCCCTGTTGTACCAGCTGGAGTTGGGTCATGCAAACCCCTTTGGTTGTTGTTGAGGTTGTAGGTGGGAGGGGGTGATGGCTTCGAATGCATCTTGCAGTGTTGCTGTGGAAATGAGTTGCAAAACCGGTCTGGGCAATGGCAGCTGCTGGTACATCTCCAGGGCAGAGACTTTGTGGTTTAATGGTTTGCCTAAACCAGAGGGAATTAAAGTATCCCCCTTGAGCTGAAACTAGGAGCAGTTGGGCTAAAACTTCATGGATTATGTGCAGGAATCTGCACCCTCTTGGCCTCAAGTCATCTGCAAAGGCCTCCCAAGTTTTGCATACAGATGCAAAGCCATTAAATAATGTCCTTGGGGTTACAAGTGTTTTCCTATAGATGTGTTCAGGAGCTTTTCTGCTCTTGGTCAGCTTGTAATCTCTCCAGCATTTCCTTCCTAGTGTTTTTTATTGACTTGGCACTAAAGCTGGGTAAATACTGGAGCGAGATACTGATGAGGCTGAGCTGAGTCGCCCCAAGGATGACCACATCAAGGCCATGCTCTGGTTTTCATGGTGTGACTGAGGGACGGTGGTGCCTCTGATGGCTGCAATTTCTCCGTAGGGCGCCTGAGCTCCACATCCAGCAACAGCTCCTGTGGCAGCTCGGAGTACTCTGGGGAGGTCATCCCCCACCCCCCGGGTAAGTGCCACCTGTCTGGGATTGGGGTCATGGGGGGGACTCTGCTCCCAGCCCCTCCACTGCAGACCTTGCTGGAGGTGACCCTGTTTCTCCTGTGCGGTGGGACTGGGGTGGTATCAGGGCTGCCTGTGTTGCACTGACCCAGACTTTCCCTGGCATGCACTGGCCCCAGGTCTGCCCAAGTCTGACCCCGGCCACTGGTGGGCCAGCTTCTTCTTCGGGAAGGCGACTCACCCGGCCATGACAACCGTGTCGGAGTCCCCGGAGAGGTAAGTGATTCTCTTGGGTGAGATGATGTGGGGAAATGCCAGTGCAGCACCCAGGGCAGTGGGGGCCATCCCTGCTGCATCCCCTGAGGTGCATCCTAACCGAATGGGTGACATCCTAACATCCAGGGCACTGACTCCTTTGCTGCAAGAAACAAATGCAGAGTGACAAAGAAGTGCCTTGGCGTCAGCCTGACCCTTTCCCTGCTCTGTCTTGCAGCCTGGGAGCACTGCGGGTGACGACAGGACCGATGGCATGTGGCTTGGCGCCAGCCCCAGGAGCGGGACGGAGGCGTCACGTCAGTGAGCCCAGCTCCGGGCCCTCCGCATGAGCGGGTTGGCGGCTGCTCCCCACACCGGCGGGCACAGCCCCTTCTCCCCTTCCCCCTCCGTGTAGAATAGGCAGGCTGCTCCAAGGCAAAGTGCTGCTTTGCAATGAAAAGTGCAGCAAACCCCCGACGATTCCCACACCAGCCTTTTTACTCTTTCTTAATGCAACTACGCCCTTTCTGCGCAGACTCGGTAACACGTTTTATTTACCTTGTACAATGGCGACTAATAAAGCCGAGCAGCCTTTTAAAACCCGTGGGTTCTTCATGGGGGATGGGAGGGCAGAACAGGGCTGAAGATACTGGTAGGGCCGTATCGGGACTGGGTGCCGCATCCAACTGCAGCGCTTCCTGCAGCATCTGGTAATGCCGGATGACATGGTCGTGCCAGTGACTCACGGGTGCGTGTGTGTTTTGCATGTGAGCAAGATCAGGCTCGCCTGTGGTGATGCTGCAAATGCCTCTCCCACCCTTTCTTCCTTACTTGGCTGCACAGCCTGTCCCCGCTGGCACTGAAGTCTCTCTGCTCCTGGAGCTCATTGCTGCCCTGCCCTGCTCTGGAGCCTTGTGGGGTAGGAGCGAGTGTCCTGCCTGCACTGGCCCTGCTCAGGGCTGGGGGAAGGATTTGGGTGCAGTGAGCCCGCTGTACTGAGGGGAGAGAGAAGGCTTGCTCAGGGCTTGCCTTAGTGGGTCTGATGTCAGGCTGGAGCTTGTGGCGGGGGTGGCAGCTGAGGGGGCACCAGGCCCGATGGCCCATGTGCTGTACTCACCAAGTGGTGTTTTGGCTGATTTTTGCCTTGAATTAGTTAACTTGGCTGTTGGCCCGTCTGCGATCAGTCTGATAGCTGGGTAGTGCTGCTCAATAAAGCACTGAGAAAACAAGAGCCTGCAGGTTGCTGGCATGCAAGGGGACAAGGTCCCTGTTCTGCTGGAGGGAAACAAAACCCTGGCAGGAGTGGATTTAAAGATGCCAAAGCTCCCTGCTGTGGTCTGCTCTCAGCCCCAACATGAGACAGGGGACAGTCCCTGCGTGCACTGGGTGCTGCAGCCCAGATGGCAGCTGGGGGACCCCTGGGTGGTGACTTCACATGGCTGGTGTCCTGTGCAGATGGGGGCAAAGGGCAAAGCTGTGCTCGGGCAGCTCCCTGCTGCCTGGCTCAGGGAGTGGCTGGGAGAGGAGGAGGCTGCTCTGCTTTCTGTCGGCGTTGCAGGGGCATCCAGGGTCACTTCCAGCTTCGCTCCTCAGTTCTGGCAGGGAAAAACGCTGTGTAAGCTTTGTCCTGTGTCTTCAGGCAAGCGTGCTTGGCCTCAGGGCAGAGGGTTTGTGCCTCCTCCGTCCCTCGGAGGGGCCAGGGCAGCCCTGGGACCTCTGCTCCCCCTGTGTAAGTGTGTGCATCCCAAAGGAACGGCTGCTGCGCACTGTGCAGAGCCAGCAGCCTTGGGCACATGGTTTGGACCCCTAAGGCTGCCAGCACCCTGTGGGTGACCTCCAGGTCCATGGCAGCACATCAGCATCCCACGACTGATCTGATGTGACTTCCAGCTGGGCAGCAAACTGCTGATGCTGGGCACTGCTGGGTGGGCTGCACTGGTATGCACGGGGCTGTGTGTAGGCAGGAGGCATGTGGCAGCCTTTAAACTTCATGGAAAGCAGGAGAAAAATCAAGGGGGGGAAAAAATTCCTTTCTGATTAAGGCAAGATGAGACATGATGGTGAGCTGGGAAGGGTGGCTGTGGCACTGGTTCATACCAGCAAGTACTGCTTCAGAGTCTTCCCATGCCCCAGCAAACCCCTCTGGCTGCTGCTCACCCCCAGGATGCCTCAGGGTGGGGGAGCAGCAGGGTCTCATCTGCTGCTGGTTCCCAGCAGAAACCCCAGGCTTTGAAGAGAGAAATATTTTTTTTCTAAGCCTGCAGCCTCAGAGTCTGCAGATTAAAGTGTGGACAAACAAAGGTAAAGTCAATATTGCCGTATTTGCTTGTTGGCCTTGTGATCATGGAGGGTCAAACCCAGTAATTGTCCCTAGGTAGCAGGGGGGGAGGCTGTAGCAAAGCAAAGGTACCAATCCTGGCGTCCCTGGTTTTCCTCTGGGCGCTTTCCCCAGCCTGACCCAGCTCTGGGCAAGCTACTCCATTCGCCTGCTGCAGTGCCACCAGCACATTGATGCTCCCCCATCCCATTTTTGGATGCTGCATGGAGGTTAAGCTCGTTCCCACATTGCGACAAGGTAGGTTGGATTTACAGCAAGGGACCACAGCATGGGTGGCTGCCCTGATGCCCGCAGCTCCCTGTCCAGTGGAGCAAAACTGCCTGAAAAAGCCCTGCTGAATTAATGGGAATTTTTCTGAATGTCTGTAAAGTCTCACAGACTCAGGCTGCTGCTCTGGTGGGGGCCAAAAAAAGGCGGGGGGATAAAACAGAGACAACCTGCCCTCTTCTAGCCTGTGTTCCCAGGCAGCTTTGTGGCATAGCCAGGAGCAAAGACTTTGGTTTGTGGGGCATTTCTTGCCCCATTGTGGCACTCAGCTGTGGTGAAGAAAAGTATCTGTCAGCCAAGCACATTTTTTTGTGCTCTTTCCACCCCCTTTGCTGGCGCCAGCTGATTTCCCATGTCTTGGGTCATTGGGCCACCCGCTGCAATGGGGCAGCAAGGGATTTACTGGGCAACAGACGTGAGACAAGCAAAGGGGCTCTTTATATACCGCACCCCTTCCTAGGCATCTCCCCCTCCCTCTCATTGGGCTTGCTGTCGGAGGGGCAAGCACCCACCTCCCATGGTACCAACCTCCATGAGGCACAGATGTCCCCTCCTCTGCCTCGTGCCCCTCGATTGCTGATTAACTCACAATTTGGGCAAAAAATAACCGGTTCTTCCCACTCTCTCTCGGCCCTTGCAGCAGCCCTCGTGCCACCCTCTGCCCTTGGAGGAGCTCACAGCAGTGCGAGAAATATTTCCTTTCATTGCCTGCCTGGGGAATTTGTGCTTCTCCCTCCAGCAGCTTTGCTTCCCCCTCACCCTTCAAAGGCCTGTAAAAATAGGAACAAACTCTGCAGCTCAAATGCATCGCATTAGCCTGACGCTGTTTTCCAATGCCACTCGGTCAAGTTGAATCCACAGAAGAGGGAAGGTGCCCGGCTGAAACCAGAGCAGGGAGATGCCTTTAACAACAGTATGTGCAATGCCCGCCCCGGCAGGGTTTAGAAAAGACTGGGGCCTTGGCAGCTCTGCCTTTGTGGGGTGGATTTTGGGAAGAGTCCCATCCCCATAGCGGCCTCGATCTGGGGGAGCTGCAGTGCCCAGCACAGGCTGAGATTCTGGGAAAAGGTGAGAAAATCTGGGCTTCCCCTGCAACTCTGTCTTTTAGAAGGGAAATAGTGAGTCAGAGAAATGCCAAAACCCAGCAGAATGTGCGTGAGGGTAAACCCAAGCAGCAGATCGGTGGAGGAGGAAGGAAAAGCTGCTGTGGGCAGCACTGGTTGGGTCCATGACGCCCTCCCCACCCCCCATCATGGCATTGCTGCAAAGAGTGAACTGCTTTGGGGACAGGTCTCATGGGGCCAGTGCAGACAGGAGGGCTGCCTGCAGCCCTGCCATCCCCCCTGCTCTCTGGAGGGACCCCGGCCATGCACCGCTGCTCCCCACGCCAGCCTGGGTCACCACACGCACCACCTTCTTCTCCTGCTTAATTCTGAGCTCCATCTGGTGGTAGCCAAACTTGCAAATTTAATATATGGCTGCAACAGCCTGCCCCAGGCTTGTCCCAGCTCTTTCTTGGTGTGCCATAAATCCATCACCTGCTGGCCACGACTTCAGATTCTTGTAGGAGGGGACCTGGGCTGTGCATGCATGCACTCTCTGCGCGGGTGTTTGCTGCACAGCGCTTTGCAAGATGAGGGTTTCCTCATGCAACCATGCCAAACCCCAACCCCTTGCTTTTTTTCCAGCTGTGAACGCTCTAACCTGGAGCTGCCGCCTTTCCGGAGCACGGCCGCAGCTCCCGAGCGCTCAGCAGTCTCCTTGCCCTTGGTTGAGCTTCAGAGGAAGTGTGACTGGATCCAAATTTATCACACGCCTAAACCACATTCCCATCTCCCCTTTCCAGGCCCCTCATGCACGGAGACTTGCTCAACTAACTGCCAGGCTCGTTTCTGCTGTTTTGTACAGCACGAGTGCTGCTCAGACAAGGCGGGTGTTGCATAAACTTTATTAACTTCATATATTCCAACCCTGCAGTTGTTTCAGTCCTACTGCTCACCTGCAAACAGGCAAAATGGGCTTCCCAGGAGGAAACTTAACCCTGGCAGCCCCAGGTGCCTTCCACCCGTGGCAAGTGCTCCTCGCCACTGGTGTCGCGAGTGTGTCAGTGCTCAAGCAGCCCCTCTCGGGACGGCCCCGGGGAGGCTGCCTGCACCAGCCCAGGGCCTTGGCACTGCTCCTGGTGCTGCTTTTCAGCGAGTTCTGCCACCACTGCCAAGGACAGCCTGGCCTCTGAGAGCGTGCACGGAGAGGGCAAAAGGTGCTGGGCCAGAGCAAACACTCCCCCCAGTTCGGGGGGACAAGAGGGTCAAGGTCCTCCTGTAGTGCCATACTCCAGGAGTGGCAAGAGGGGCTCTGCGAGGGGCTGGGGGTGGTGGGAGCATCTCAGCGTTGCACCATGGCTGAGATGAGGAGCAAAGGGTGCTGCCTGTCCCTGGGCTGAGCAAGCGTTGACTATTTGAACGCAGACATATATTTTTTTCTTGGAATAACCACAGGATGGTGAGCAGGACAAGGAGCCAGAGCGGAGCAGCCCCACAGGAGCTGGTGTGCAGGGTCCCTGGGGTAAGCAGGGCTGCTGCCTGGGAATGGGGTGGCAGAGGCACACGGTTTAATTCCCACCTGGATGAACAGAGACTAAAGAGACATGAAGACGGGTCTATCTGTGGCTGCAAGAGCAGGGATGGGTTGCAAACCATTGCTTCTTGGGCAGGAGAGGAGCAGCGTGGGGAGGGCAGAGCGTCC